AGGAGGAGGATGACGATGACGATGAGGACGAGGAAGAGGAGGAGGAGAAGGAGGAGGAAAAGGAGGATAATGAGGAGGAGGTGGAGGAGAGCGCCATCGACAAGGAAGGTGGGGGCCACGAGGTCCGCCGGCTCGACGACGCCCGCGTCGCCCGCGCCCGCCCCCTCACTCTTATCCGCAATTGCGGGGTGCTACGTATCATTATTATTACTACTACTACGACTACTACTACTACTACTACTACTACTACTACTACTACTACTACTACTACTACTACTACTACTACTACTACTACTACTACTACTACTACTACTACTACTACTACTACTACTACTACTACTACTACTACTACTACTACTACTACTACTACTACTACTACTACTACTACTACTACTACTACTACTATATACTACTACTACTACTACTAACTACTATTTGTACTACTACTACTACTACTACTACTACTACTACTACTACTACTTACTACTACTATTACTATTACTACTACAATGACCACTACGATTACTACTACTACTACTACTACTACTACTACTACTACTACTACTACTACTACTACTACTACTACGACTACTACTACTACTACTACGACGCCTACTACTACGACTACTACTACTACGATTACTACTACGATTACCACTACTACTACTACTACTACTACCTACTACTACTACGACTACTACCACTATTACTACTATCACTATTATTATTATTATTACTACTACTACTACTACTACGACTACTACTACGACTACGACTACTACTACTACTACTACTACTACTACTACTACTGCTGCTGCTACTACTACTACTCGCTCCAGTTCACTTCCTGTTCTTCCCTCCTTTCCCTTCCGTCCCTTCCCCAGGCCGTTCCCCCACAGCTGTTTCCTCTCCGAGGATGTCCATCTCCTGGGTAACTGTATCCGCGCACGGAAAACACGAAACGAATGTTTAAGTTGTATAACCAGGTACTTTGGGCCCCCGATTTTGATAGTTCCCTGAAAACGTGATCAGGCGCATCCTTTCCATCTCCTCCCGTCCCCTCCTTCCTCATCTTCCTTCCCCTGCTACAACGACGGAGATTGCAACTACGAGTGCGACTCTTACTTCTGATGCTATCATTCGTACTGCAAAAAAAAGCACTACCACTACCACTACTATTACTATTGCTACTGAAACTACTACTACTACTACTACTACTACTACTACTACTACTACTACTACTACTACGACTACGACTACTACTGCTACTACTACTACTACTACTACTCGTACTATTGTTATTTCTACTACTACTGCTACTGCTTCTGCTACTGCTACTTCTACTTCTACTACTTGTGCGACTATTATTACTATTACTACTATTACTACTACTACTACGACTACTACTACTACTACTACGACTACTATTACTACTACTACTACTTCTACTGCTGCTGCTACTACTACTACTACCACTACTACTACTGCTACTACTACTACTACTACGACTACTACTACTACTACTACTACTGCTACTACTACTACTGGTATTGCGACTGTTACTACGATCGACAGCGACTACAAGGCCGATTGTTACTACTACGACTACTCCTACCAGTACCACTAGTACTATTACTACTACTACTACCACTACTACTCTTACAAACCACGATTACCATTACTATGACTACAAGTCCTACCTCTACTGCTACTACTACTACTACTACTCCTACTACTACTACTACTGTTACTACTATTTTCAGTATTACTACCGCTGCTACTACTACAACGATTACGAATACTATTACTACTGCTGCTACCTGCCACTATTACTACTACCACTACTACTGCTACTCCTGTTGCGGCTGTTGCCGCTGCCGACAATCAGTAGTTGGACGATGTGTTTTAGGATTAGTATTGCCACTGCGGCTTCGACTACGACAACTACTATTATTGTAACTACCACTACTTCTACTACTACTACGTCTACTCCTACTACGGCTACTGTCGCTGCTACTGCTCCTACTCCTATTACTACTACTACTACTATTGCTACGGCTGCTACTATTACTACTACCACTACTACCCCTTCAAACTACGACCTTTTTTATTAATACGACTACACGTCCTACCGCTACTGCTATTATTCTTCCTCTTATTACTACTGCCCTTGCATACTACACCGATTACGACGACGACTACTACTACTACCACTACCACTACCTCTACCACTACCACTACTGCTACTACTTGCTACTACTACTACAGCTACTACTACTACTACTACTATTACTACTACTACTACGACTACTACTACTACTACTACTACTGCTACTACTACTGCTACTAATGCTACTACTGCTGCGGCTGTTGCCGCTGCCTACAGTCAGTATTTGGACTATGTGTTTTACGACTAGCACTGTCACTACGACTTCGACTACGACAATTATTTCTACTACTACTGTTATTACTACTACCACTACCTTTACAACTACTACTACTACTACGACTACTATTGTTCGTACTACTACTACTACTACTACTATTGTTCCTACTACTACTACTACTTCTACTACTACTACTACTACTACTACGGCGACGACTACTGCTACCGCTACTACGACCATTGCTACTACTACTACTACTACTACTACCACTACTACTACTACTACTACTACTACTACTACTACTACTACGACTACAACTACTACTGCGACTACTACTACTACAAATGTAATGTTCTCCAGTTCTATTACTACTACTATCACCAATCCTTCTGCTACTGCTACGACCTACTTATACTTCTGACACTACTACTGTTACTACTACTACTACTACTACTACTACTACTACTACTACTACTACTACTACTACTACTACTACCACTATGACCACTACTGCTTCTACTACTACTACTACTACTACTACTACTACTACTACTATTATTTGGCATTACCACTACTACGACTACTACTACTGTTGCGACTGCTACTGCTACTGCTCCTACGGTTGCTACTGCTACTACTCAATTTGATTCCCTACCTAGGCTCTGCCTAGATGGGTTCTTACTGTGTGGGCTTAAAGGGCCGGGCAGTGGAACCCGCCCCGGGCGGTTCCCCCAGGATCCGCCCCGCGGTTCCCCCAGTGACGCTCCCTTAGTTTAGCCTTGCTTATCTCATCTTAGCTTAGCTTTTTTCATCTTAGCTTAGCGTAGCTTCATCTTAGCCCAGGTTTGTCTTAGCTTAGCTGACCTTACCTTCATATTTGCTTCGCTGAGCTTTAGCATACCAGAGCACAGCATAGCATGGCGCAGCATAGCATAGCATAGCGCAGCACAGCACAGCACAGCATAGCACTGTGCAGGATAACATAGCATCGCAGACCAGAGCATAGCAAAGCACAGCAGCAAAGCAAAGGCAAAGCAACAGCAGCGACAGCAAAGCAAAGCACAAGCAACGCTAAGCAAAGCAACGCAAAGTATAGCATAGCATAGCAGAGTTCAGCATAGCATAGCATAGCGCAGCATAGCATGGCATAACATAGCATAGCATAGCATAGCATAGCATAGCAACTAATGCTGCTTTCCTAGGGGCTCCAACTTTCTAGGTAGGGTCGCACTGGGCGAATTTCTTCTACTACTACTACTACTACTAGTGCTGATATGACTACGATGACTACTACTACTACTACTACTACTACTACTGCTACTACCACTACTACTACCACTACGACGACGGCGACGACTACTACTACTACTACTACTACTACTACTACTACTCTTCCGACCGCTACTATTGATTACTATTACTAATCGTACGATTACTACTTCAACTACCACTTTTTCTTTTACTACTACTACTACTACTACTACTACTACTACTACTACTACTACCACTACCACTATCACTACCACTATTACTACTACTACTACTACTACTACGACTACTACTACTACTACTACTACTACTACTACTACTACTACTACGAGTGCTACTACTGCTAGTAGTAACATTTTCCTACATGCATTTGTGATTCTACTACTACGACTACTCCTACTATTATTACCATTACGGCGACTACTACTACATTTACTATTACCACTACTACTACTACTACTACTACTACTACTACTACTACTACTACTACTGTCATTTGTGCTACTATGATTGTTTGTGCTGCTACTACTACTACTACTAATACTACTACTACTACTACTACTACTACTACTACTACTACTACTACTACTACTGCTACTACTACTACTACCACCCATCACGCTCCCTTCCCGAGGAGCGCCAGAGGATCCCGAGGACCCCCGAGGAAAACATCCCATTCCTACCTCTGTACACACGAGTTGCTGGGACGATAAATGTACTATCTTTTCAGAGCCCCGATTTCTGCTTTCCCCACACTGATTATCAGGGGCATTCGCCTACTGTCGGACCTGGATGTTCTTGTGCATCCTGGGGACGGTGCTCTCGGGTGTTCTTCAGTTTGGGCTGGCGGAGGACTTCACATTCTTGGAGGATGTTCTTTTTTGTTTCTTCCAGCAATACCTCGAATTGTTGGCACGGTTTCCTGAATATCTAGTGGATCAGAACGTTTGGGCACTTGGTGATTCAAGCGTGGAGCGGATGCTGCGTTCGATTCGAGGGGACGGGCTGCTGTGTTAATTTGGTCCTTTGTGGAGGAAGACCCGCGTAGCAGCGCGCTGGCGGATCTGTGTGGCGCTAGCATGCCTGGACAAAGGTGTAGTGGCACGGCACGCGTACCGGTGCTGCAGAGGAGGATCGAGATTCGAGGATTCTGATTTTTGCTGCCATTATTGTATGGGGGGGAGTCCAGAGGCAGCTGGAGGCCTCTGGGACCTCAGGATGTGGACCTCCAGGAATCTCTGGAAACCTCCGGTGACACCCGGCAGCGTGACTGCCTCTGTTCGCCCTCTCGCCAACAGTCCTCTTGCTCACCATCTTCCTCCACGTCTCCCGCCCCTGCCACAGGCCTGGAAGTTCTCGTCCACCACGGTGGTGAACTTCGGCACTGAGGCGGAAGCCCCGGGGGCGAAGGCAGGTAATTCACGAGTCAGTCAAGGGACGCCACGAGGGCGCGAAGCTATTCGCGGCTCGCGATTTCTCATCCTCACATTCCTCGCCCTCTTCTTCTCTACGGGGCAGCTCGAGAGCTCGAATCTATTCCCGCCTGAAACGCAAACGCAGCTGCCCTTGGTCAGCCAGAGATGCAGTGATCCACGCAGCGTGGACTAGGCGTCCAAGTCTCTCACCCCATCCTCCGTCCCCAGCACACAGCGCAGCGAAGCGTCAAGGGAATAATCGAGATGAAGAGGAGGAGGAAGAGGAGGACGAGGAGGAGGCGTGAGGTGTAAGGAGGAGGAGGCATGAGGGGGGAAAATGAGAGGAGGAGGAGGAGGAGGAGGAGGAGGAGGAGGAGGAGGAGGAAGAGGGAATGGAAGAGGGAAAGGAGGAGGAAAAGGAGGGGAGGATGAGTGGGAGAGAGAGTGGGAGGGGGAGGCAGTTACCGTCGAGTCCTGCTTCAGTATCTAGTTGTCTGGGGCAATCCCCGCCACTGTCAGTGCACCAGCGCATACTGGATGGTTCGACCGAGTCTTCCCGAACAGACTCAGTAAAACCAGTTTGGGGTTGTCTGGGATGCAGCGCTAAGACGCTGTAGCGCGTCGAAGCTGTAACGTTGCATGGTCGTTGCTCTGCCTCATGGGGGCTTGTTTGGCGACCCCGGGAGTCTGTTGTGGCCTTGAAGGGGCGTATTCTGAAGTCTGGTGGCTGGCCTCGATGGGGACCTGTTCATAACGGGTATCTGGGAAGTCTTGTGCGCGATTGTTTTACGGAGCTCTCCCAAATAAGTTCGATATAACAACCATGTGGGGGTCGTTTGGGCGGGTCTTGCAGCCGCAATGGGGCCTTCCTAGGCAGTTGTGGTAGTGTCTTTGGCCTAATTGATCTTCCCTGAACATTCTGTCCGTAAGGGCCCATATCATTTCCAAAGTATACAAGGCCAGGTGTGGGTCGTTACGGATCCAGAGTTGGTGGCCCGGTATCTCTCTCATGGTCTCTCAGGTTGTTTCCCGTATGTTCTCTGTACGGTCTTCTTCATGGCCTCCGTTATGGTCTTCCGTATTCCCTAGGGTAGTATCGAAGACGCCTACGGCGAATCACCGCCGCCCCCTGCCTTTTTGGAAGCGCCTAGTCTCGGGCCCGCTTCAGAGTGCCGATCCAAATGCCCAGAAATCTCCAATGGCGGCGGCCGTGGCGGGGCGGGCAACCCGTGCAGGGGCTCGCGCGACAGTCGCCCCCGCGCGGCCTGCAGTGCCCTACTCCGACCCACCGCTCGCACGTGCGCCTGGGGCCGTCGGGGAGGCCCGCGCCTGATCTGATCCGCTGTTGTCGTCCAGCCATGCCTCTTGCACGCCGCGCTCAGATAGATGTGCGTGTTGTCGCAGGGGGGCAGCTACCCACAGGAAGCGCTCGAGGGGGGATTCGTAGTCTGGCGGGTGCTGGGTTTCGGTGGCAAGCCCAATCCCGTCGTCTTCGGGCGCGTTGAGTCCTTCGCCGCCCACACCGCGCAGGCCTTGCTCAAGCCGCTCGCACGGTCCGAGGCGGGCCACGCTGCCGCGGCCCCCGGCCGCCTGCAGCTCTACGTGGACGATCCAGTTCTCATTGTGACAGGCGAACCGGCGGTGGCGCAGCTGGCGATCGACCTCGTGCTCACGTGGTGGCTCCTTCTCGGCGCGCCGCTGGCGTGGAAGAAGGGGGCGCTCTACGAGCGCGACCACCAGTGGATCGGGGCCAGGTTCGTCCTGAGCGCGCCGGGCGAGGTGCACGTCTTCCTGCCCCCAGGGTTCCTGGCGGACCTCTTCGAGTTCCTCGAGCCCTTCGCCGCTGGCACGGGCCACGCATCGCTGGCGGCGGCCCGCCGCGTCGTCGGGAAGTGCGCGCGGGTGGCATACGTGGTGCCCGACGCGGCGCCATTTGCGGCCGCCCTGTGGGGCGCCCTCGGCGGGGCCGCAGCGGCGGGCCGCGAGGCGCCGCCAGGCCGTGTCGCCTGCCGCAGGTTCGGCGGTGCCGCGAGGTGGATGTGGGCGCTCGTTGACCCCGCGGGCCTCGACCTGCTCCCCCTCCGGCGCGTCGCCCGCGCCCAGGACGATCGTCCGCCGCTGGCCGACGCCGCGGTGAAGTTCGATGCGTCGCCGTGGGGCGGCGGCGCGGCGCTCTACCAGCGCGGCACCCCGGTGGAGTACTTTGCCGTCGCGTGGACGTCCGACGTCTGCAACCTCTTTGACATCGGCACGGGCGACCCCAGGCACCAGTCCTTCTGGCAGTACCTCACGGCGCTGCTGGTGCTATGCGTGCGGGGCGGCTCGTTCCGCGCCGAGGTCCTCGCCATCGCGGGCGACAACGTCGCGGCCTTGGAGGGGGCCCTCAACCTCCGCGGCAAGGGCATGCTCAATCACGTCACCCGCGAGATCGCTCGGCGACGGGCTCGGCCTCGGTGGGAGTATGTCGTCTCGCATTTGCCGGCGGAACACAGCGTGTGCGCCGACGCTCTCTCCCGGTTGTCCGCGCCAGACCGCGCCGAGCTCCCGGCGGAGCTCGCCACCCCGTCGAATTGATATGCTTCGCGCTCGCGGTGTTCGTCGCGCTGGCCAGAGTCGCGGCGCTAGTCCCCGTCGCGTTCCCACGTGGCGGACAAGGGGTGGCGTCGCGCTGAGCGGCGCCGCGCTGATCCGCGCTGTGGCGATGGCACCCGCCGCGGCGATCAAACTCGCGTTGCTGGCGCCCGTAATTCGGGCCCTTGGCGACTGTCGAAATAGAATGTTTGCCTTCGGTCGCGCTGCTCGGCGTCGGGCCGTTCGCGCCCGTCGCGCTCCCTTGCGTCGCGATCATGGCGCCCGATGGGCCGCCCACATTTGCGCGGCCGCGTCGAGCGCCGCTCGTTTAAAATATTCCCATGGGAGCTAGTCGCGGCCAGCTGATCAGCGCCGCGTCGCTGGTGCCCGCCGCGGCGCTTACCGATGGACATCTGCGGTGCCCCTCGCGCCGCCCTGCGTCGCGCTGGGGTGAGGGTCGCGCGGCCCTCTGGCGCCTGTCGAGTGGTGCAGCGTCGCGCTGGCGGCGCCCGTTGCGCTCGCACCCGCAGGGCGACGCGGCTCGAACCAAAGTGGCAGCGGATAGGGGGAAAACGCAAAAAGCGGGGCGCGAGGAACCCGAAGGGGCGGAGAAAACGGCGGCAACGTCGGCGGCGCCCGCGCCGCCGCTGCCGTCGCCGCGCGCGCCCGCGGCTGGCGCCGCATAACCGCCAGCGGCGCTTCTGACAGAGGATCCAAGAGAAATGTGTGAGAATCACGCGGCGGAAGCGCGAGGGGGGATCAGGGTATTCTGCGCGTCCACGGGCGCGTGAGATGTTGGAACCTTGGGCCCGAAGTGAACTTCCTGACCATGGGCATGATTGGTTTTCTATCCTCCCGTGTTTGGCGCCTCGCTGCGGCCCCGAAGCTGACATTCGTTGTGCAAGTTTGCGCGATGCGCTTTACTGCCTGCGCAATGCCTGGAGGTCTGGTGCGAAGCTGCAACCGAAACAATGGTTTGAAGTTCGGATGCGAGTTCTGCGCCGTAAGCATCCAGCGGTGTAAGCCGCGTGGAATCAGAGCCCTCACTCGAGTTCTTCATGCTGCTGTTTGTCATTTTTTCTGAGTGATTCCACCTGCGGCTGACCTGCTGGGGGCGCAGCCTCTTGGGCTGCGGTGGCAATTTTCGCCGAGTGCCCTAAAGGGGCCCTTCAGGGCCCCTCTGGGCCCCCGATGGCTCCACAAGGGGCCCTACATCTGGCGATCGCAAACATGGATCAAAGGGGAGTGGAGTAGCGACGGGCCTCAAGGAAATCGCGGATTTCCGCCGCCGAACGACGCGGCACCGGCCGCATTTTGGGGAGGGCACTTCCCCCCGATCCATGGATTCGGCGACCGCGCGCCAGACCCATGGACCGCTAATCCATGCGTGCGCACCCCGAAAATTAGGGGGTGACCTACATGGGGGTGAAGAGCGTCCCTGAAGCGGCCCTTGAGGGCCTCTTTTGGGCCGCCTCTGGCTCCACAAGGGGCCCCTTTCTTTACCCCCCATTCGAGCCACTCTCCAATACCACCCGCCCGAACAAAATCGTCCGTCAGAGGTGTCCCCCCCCAGTTCATGAGCGAGAGAGGTACGTGCACGCACACGAATCCACGCTGGGCTTCGAGAGTGCGCGCTGCGCGAATGTTCGTATCACGCGGCCGGTCTCGCGGATTGGGGGACCATGTTCGTGTAATTACGTGGGTGGGCGCGACTTTTCGGGCGGGGCCAGGACGAGGATAAATCCGTTCCAAAGCGTTCCAGAACGCTCTGAGAAGACTGCCGCGCCCGAGACATCCTCCAGAACCGCCTCTCACAGAGATTCTCGATTCACCCTCTCCCAATGTTGTTCTCGTCCTGGCTTCGTCTGATACGTCCTCTGCGGGCTTCTTACCCAGGGGTGTCAGGAACACAGCTCCCCCAGTCGTCGCTGGTCGGCGAGTGTTGCCGACACCGGCGACGAGGTGGTAGTGTTGGTTAGTTTTTTCAGAGGTAACGATAAAAGGGGGATAGGCATAGGAGGGACGCACCCACCCCCAATGGCCCACTGATCGCTGATAGGGGCCCGAGAACGTGCGGATTCACTATCGGGGACCTATCGCCGATCTATCGCTATCGGCTATCGGCGATGTATCGCCAACACCAGGTCGATGTGTCCCCCCCATACCTGTCCCACCCTATCGTCGCCTCTCAGCTATGCAGTTGCTGGGGCGTTACGTTCAGCATCGGCGCTGCTACACCCGTGGTCGAACACCAGCATTATCTCGCTTGATTTCGCTTGATCTTGTCCAATCTGGCTACAAGATCTAGTTCAATGTGCGCATGCCTGGAGACAGCGATTGGGTGAGTGTGGTGGGCAGTGCATGGGTGTGCACCGCGCTTGCCGACGCGCCGTGTGCGCATGGCTTCTGTCTGTCGGTTTATCTGCTTGGCTGTCTGCCTGTCTGTCTGTCTGTATGTCTGTCTGTCTGTCTGTCTGTCTGTCTGTCTGTCTGCCTGCCTGCCTGCCTGCCTGCCTGCCTGCCTGCCTGCCTGCCTGCCTGCCTGTCTTGCCTGTCCGTGAACGTGCCATGGGGGCGCGGCGGCTGATCTTTCGGGGTCTGCGGTGCCCGTGCCGCAGGGCTGCAGGCCTCCAGCGCCTGAGAGCAGGGGAAGGAGGGCTTTTGGCAGAGAGAAGACACAAGTTCGTTAAACCACCTAGGCCCAGAGGGCTGGTGGGATTCTGCACGCTATCCCAGCCGACCGACATGAGAAGCCAGGGACCTTCATCGTTCTTCCGTTGCCCCGTAACACTGGTTTGCCGAGCGCCAGCGCCAGCGCAGCCAGACCGCCCCATCTGCCCTGTGCCCGCGTGCGCCGTGCTCCGCGCAGGCGCGGATGAACAACAAGAACGGCGAGGCGCTCCGATCCGCCGGCGCTCCTGCAGCGATGGCGTTGACAGAAGGACAGCCTTGTGCGCAGGTCTTTCCAATGCGTGGGCGATGGCGAGCTGGCCCCTTCACGGCGGCGGCGGCTTGCCGAGTGCAGCCGTCAGTCTCCGTTCGTGCCGTGCTTGTGCCGATCACGGCCCCGGGCCTGGTTCTGTTCCATATCCATGTCGCCCCTCATCTTCCTGTTCCTTTTCCTCCTGTATGTCCTCTGTTTGTGCTCCATGTTCATTCTCTTTTCTTCGCAGGCGCGCGCGGCCCAGCGGCTGCAGGTTGTCAGGAACAACCCCTCCATCATGCTGGGCGCGGAGTCCCCCGCCGCTTTCGAGCACGATCCCAAGGAGCGGGCACCTGGAGGGATGAAGGCGTTCTAGACACGGTCTCGCTTTCGAGGGTCGCAGGAGTTGCCATCTCGTCCTCGGCGGAATGTGGCGGAAGACCGGCGGAAAGCGGAGGAAGTAAAACGAGGCTGCTTCCGCCAACGGAAGGCCGGCGGAAGCGGGCGGAAGTAAAACATGCGTCTTTGTAAGATCGGAGGTTGGGGGGTGAGATCGCAGTGGAGCGGAGACCCCCAACTGGGAAATCGTTTCGTTTCGTGCGTGCCGTGCGTGCTGGCGATGCGAAGCTGCGTGGGCGCGCGAGAGGAATGAACCCGCCGCTGCTTGGGCGAAGTCAAGGCAAATGATTATCCCCCTCCCGCCCGTCCGGCGCTGGCCCGCGGTGTCCCGCCGTATCCCGTGGTGTCCCGTGGTGTCCCGTGGTGTCCGCCGCTGCTAGGGCGAAGTCAAGACAAATGATTCTTCAGGCTTACGCCACATCCGCCGACCCCTTATGAAGAATCGCGCAGTGGTCTGGTCGCCTCTTTGGGTGGTCTGAGGCCCCTGGGCCATTCTGGGGGCATTCTTGGGTTGTCTTGGGGCCCCTTAGGCCGTCCTGTGGCAGTATTGGGCTGTCTTGGGGCTCTCTTGGGCTGTCATCGGCCTCTCTTGGGCTGTCATGGGGAGCTCTGGGCGTTCTTTTCGGCCGTCTTGGCCGTCGCCATCTGTTGCCGAGGACTGTGGTATGCCCTTGGTGACCTCAGAACTGCTTTGCGGTGTCTTTTGGAACCGTCAGGGGCGGCCGTGGGGTGACCTTCAATCGTTTCAGGCCATTGTGAAGCTATCTTGGCCCTCCCTGACCTTAAGCGGAACCGTCTCGGCGTCATCTGAGGCTGTTTTGGCGCGCCATGAACCTCTCGGGAGCCGTCCTGGAGCTCTCGCGGGTCGTCCCGTCGCCTGGTGGACCCTCTTGGCGCGACCTGGAGGCGATCTGGGGGATTTCGGGGTCAGGTGGATCCGGTGGGGCCTTCGGCCAGGGCCCGAGGGCGGGAAATCACGGACGCGAGGCATCTGACAGCAGACCAAACCAAGCACTATTATCAGACGGGCGCAGGCCATAGGCCAGTGAAATGCGGCGACTGCGACGCGCATCACAAGCGCTCGCGGGTGTTCAGGTGTTCCGCGTGCCCGACAAAAGCAGATGGAAGAGGCCGGGAGTTCACGGACAGGACGCATTTGACAGATAAGCAAGTGGAGCACTTCTTCGCGAAGGGTTCGGACCATCGCCCAGTCATGTGCCGCGCGCGCCAGGAAGAATGCAATCAGTCGCGAGTGCTCACGTGCTCCGCGTGCCCGACAGAAGCAGATGGGAAAGAGCGAGAATTCACGGACAGGACGCATCTGACAGATAAGCAAGTGAACGCCTTCTTCAAGAAGGGTTCGGCCCATCGCTCGGTGGTGTGCCGAGCGTGCCACGAGCAAAGGCAGATGGCGAAGAAGTTGGAATGCTCCGCGTGTCCCGTGGAAAAGGACGGATCAAAGCCAACGTTCACTGACGGCGGCCATCTCTCGAAATACCAGAAGAATAATTATTTCCACCGAGGCAATCTGGCGGTTTGCGCCAAGTGGTATAAGGCGGGACGGGCGCCTCGAAGAGACCCGCCGAAACGCCTTGCAGAAGCAAGTGACGAGCACGGCGGGAAGCAACGCAAGTTGCGAGGAATCTGACCGCGAGTCGCGCGCGCGCGCCGTCTTCGGGGCTCTCTTGGGCCGTCCTCGGCGCCCTCTTGACCCGTCTCGGCGCCCTCTTGGGCTGTCGCGGGGCCCTCGTGGAGGTCTGTTGGACCGTCTTGGTGCGGTCTTGGGGGGCTCTGGGGCCGCCCAGGAGCGGGGAACACCCCAAAAGGCGCACGTGCGAGAAACAATATACGTTTTACAAAGGGAACGGGCGTTTTTGTGCGTCTAGAGGCCCTCTTGTGGCGCATCGTGGATGCCTCTTGGGGCGTCTTGGGGGCCTCTGTAGCCGTCTGGAGGTCGTCGTCCGTGTTTTGGATCGCTCTTGGACCGTCGGGGACCACGTGGAGCTCTCTTCGAGGCCACTCGGGGCGCTCCAGGAGCGCTGTCGGGACCGTTTTCTAAGCCCTTTTGGGCCGTCTTGGACGTATGTTGGCCCAAGAGGCGTCTTGGGCCGTGTGGGAGCGGGTTTGGGGGGCTCTGGGGCCGCCCAGGAGCGGGGGGCACCCCGAAAGGCGCACGTGTGAAAACATATACGTTTTACGAAGGGAACGGGCGATGTTTTGCGTCTAGAGGGCCTCTCGGGGCGAATCTTGGATGCCTCTTGGGCCGTCTTGGGGGCCTGTTGAGCCGTCGGGAGGCCGTCGTCGATGTTTGTGATCGCTCTTGGACCGTCTGGGACCGTGTGGAGCTTTGCGGAGGCCACTCGGAATGCTCCTGGAGCGCTCTTGGGGTCGTTTTCGGAGCCCGCTTGGGCCTGTTGGCCCGTCTTGGGGCCCTCTAGGGGTATGTGGAGCACCCTGTGCGAGGCTCCTGGGGCCGTCTGGGAGCGGGTTTGGGGGCCTCTTGGGCCGTCGGGGAGCATCGGAAAGGCCCAAAGCAGAATTTGTGAAAAATGTACGTTTCACGAAGGGAATGGGCCAATTTTTGCATCTAGAGACCCTCGTGGAACGCATCTCGGAGGCCCTCGGGGGGGCTCGTGGGGGCCTCTTCTGCCGTCGAGGACGCCTCGTGGCCCGTCTTTGGGCCACCTTGAGCGCCTTGGAGCGCTCGCTGGGCGTCCCAGAGCCATGTCGAGGCCACCAGAGGAGTCCCTGCACGATTTTCACCAGGTTTTGCACGATTTTCGGGTTCGGATGACCCCTCCGTTCCCATCCGGGGGATCCGGCCCGACCCCCCCCCCCTCCAAATCGACCGGACCGGGCTCCCTGGGGAGGGGTTTGGGGAGGGGGGACATGTCACACGCCGATGAACCCCAAGGGGTCGGCGGCTGCTAGGGCGAAGTCAAGACAAATGATTATCCCCATCCCGCCCGTCTGGCGGTGGCTCGCGGTGTCCCGCGGTGTCCCGTGGTGTCCCGTTGAGTCCGCCGCTGCTATTGCGAAATCAAGACAAGTGACTCTCCCCCGCCCGCCCGTCCGTCCGTCCGTCCGTCCGTCCGGCGGTGGCTCGCGGTGTCCCGCGGTGTCCCGTGGTGTCCCGTGGTGTCCCGTTGAGTGAGATCGATACTGAGATCGATACTGAGATCTATACTGAGATCGATACTGAGATCGATGTGGTGTCCCGCGGTGTCCCAAAAAGTGAGATCGATAGTGAGATCGATGTGGTGCCCCGTGGTGTCCCGTGGTGTCCCTTTGAATGAAATCGATAGTGATATCGATGTTGAGATCGATATTGAGATCGATGTGGTGCCCGGGGGTGTCCCGTGGTGTCCCGTGGTGTCCGGTTGAGTGAGATCGACAAGTATCCCGTGGTGTCCCGTGGTGTCCCGTTGAGTGAGATCGATAGTGAGATCGATTGAGTCAGATGTTGGTTCCCCCCCCTGTCCCCCCACCCCACAACATCCTTATCACCCGAAGGGTGGCCGTACAGGTATGACACTTTGGGGGGTTCAGGGTTTCCAGAGTGTTTTGTAGTCTTTTCGGACATCACGCGCGTTATGCCCCCCCTCCCCTCCCTCCCCCCCCTTCCCCCTTAACGTAGCGCTCCCGATCCCCGTCCCTTCCCCCCTCCCCGTACGTGCGCCTCTGGCACTGCCATGGTGATGCTCGCAGGCTGCTGTTCTGCTTCAGCCTACGCTAACTTTCACGGGCTAGAGTGGCGTCGACAGGCTCATTGCCCGTGCTCGCAGACATGGTGCTGCGTTCGCAGGCTATTTTCGCACATGCAGGGTCCGGCAGTTGTTGCGCACTCGCGCGCGGATTACGCGGTATTCTTGCTGGCAGGACCGCGAGAGTTCTGGTGGTGGTATTGGTAGCCGAAGTAGTGGCAACTGTCGTATCAGTAACAGCAATGTATCAGGAGGAGGAGGAGGAGGAGGAGGGAGGCGAAAGGAGCGGAGGGAGGAATATGAAGAGTTGGTTTTCTGGTGTAGTGGTTGACTGGTGCATGAAGGTGGAGGTATGTTTGGACCCCTCCCTGCAACCGTCTTCGTTGGCCGAGGGGCTGCAGGGAGGTCCTCGGCCCCCTCCGGTGGCAACTGACGCCATCATGTATAGGTGTGGGGGGGGAACCCACGCAGCCCCTGTGATGGAAGCTGCGCGGGGTGTGAGGCCAATTGGCGGTCCTCACGGGCGAGGCCTAAAGACGGTCCTCACCCGGGGGGGGGGCGAGAGGGAGGGGGCGCGCGCGGTTCTCGAAGAGGTCGCTCCTGAGGACGGTCCTAAGGCAGGATTCCTGAAAAAGGGGTCCGAAAACGGCATACGCAGTTTCGACACCGAAACTGGACATGCCCTACGAATTCGTTATCCCATGGGGTGGGATAGCAGCTGGGGGGATGACTCGGGGGCAGCGTTTATTCGACCGCGGGTCGAAAGCAGGAGGGTCGAAGGGAAGGGAAGGGAGAAAGAGAGAGAGAGAGAGGGGAGCAGCAGGAGGGTCGAGAGGCGGGGAGCAGAGAGGAGAGGAGGGCCCAGGGGCACCTGAAACGGGAAACCTGCAAAAAGGATAGCGGGCCTGACCGGGGGACCTGAAGCCGAAGCGAAGCGACAGGGGGGGGACGATCCAATGCGACCCCTGGACAGCTCTCGGCGAGGGCCGCTGCTCCGGACGTGTAGATTGGACGGCGGTTATACCCATCCATAGAGAAAGGCGGGGGGGGGAGAAGGAGGGGAGTAGGCCCAGCCACACACCTGCGCCCCAAGTGGCAGACGGAGGTGGCTGGGAGGGTTTTACATACCCGTCCTTGGAGAGCTCGGTTAAGGGGCGGGGATCGAGAACGACCTCATGAGTGACGCCGCGGCGGCACATGTGACACCGCGGCAGCACGGGTCGAACCGTCACCCTTGGTG